CAGTAAGAAATCATACCAAATGATACATTTTAAGGTATAACCCATTTTATAGGAAGCTACTTCATTTATGGAAATTACATTTATATTTATAACTCACACAGATATTTTGAAAAGCAGAATGGGTTATACATTTTATGGTCCTACTATTTAAATCTGATCTTATATTTATATTTAAAAAATCGTAATATTTAATAGACCAGTTATTGACTAAAGAACTATACATTTTGTCCCTTACTTTAAGCATAGTTCAACCTGCAATGGTATCAAAAACCCCACGTTAGTCGTGTGTATTTAATCCAATCTATTGACAAACCAAAAGAGCAATCAAGAGGTGATTTATGAGACGCCAACATTTGATTAGAATCGATGTGGTGGCACAACCGAAAGCGATATGTGTACGTATACGTATATCATTTGGCAACCGCAAAATTGCGGTTTCGAAACCCATTTGACTGTCAATGCATCGCAATTAACCATAATTAGTTTCTGCCGTTTTTTGTCGGGCTGCCTGGCAGTAAGCACTATTAACCAGAAAGCGTTTGTTGGCGCTCCTGTGGACAAGTGAAAACCACAACATTGCATGGCAGAGAATACTCCAAAATACACACAACTACATGGAGGAACTTAGACAGAGAGACAGGCACACAGACAGGGGAGAAAGCAGAGAAAGCGGGGAAAGCGAGTGAGTGGAAGCCGTGATAAAGGATATGTTTGTTCAGCTTGTGTGTGTATGGGTATTTGCCTGGCTGTGTCTGTGTGCGTGTGGGCTAGCTGACTGACTGGCCCACTTCCGTTAACGACATTTGCTTCAATTTGGAGAATTAAGTCTTAAAGCGTAATTGAGTGAAAATTTTCATTGAACCATAAGCGTAACTCGGTGGGTGCGTTTTTTATTATTGCTTTCTTTTTTCAGGGCCGCATGTGTGTGTGTGGCCAACGGAAGGAAGGGACTGTGTAAATCTACTTTCTGCACCGGAAACTCCGCCATGTACCGGAAATGTGACAGCCATTGATCAGTTTGCCTGTGTGTGTGTTTAAGCCATTCTTGCAAAAGTGCCGTGCCACTTATCAATGGCAGTTAACTGGCGGCAAAGGAATGCCCTCGCCTGAATGGAGACCCAAAGATACTGTCACTCGGAATACAATGCAAAGGAAGTGTGTTTTCGGTCAGGAATGGGCAATGGGAACCATCTTCTTGGGATCCAGAAAAGGTACTAGGTACGGAGAATGTAGCAAAAAGGATTGTTATTTAGTGGTACTTAAACGGTAGTGGTACTTATGGTAGTTTCAAACATATATGGGTTGCAAATGTATTCGAAAATCAATTTTATTTGGGCTTACATTTTTCTCTTTACTTCCTATTTGAAACTAAATGTCATTCAACTTAAACTTAACAAGCAGCTACGTTATGGAAAATTTTATTTAAAGATAAGATAAAAGAAACCGTTTAAAGTATTAACATTAAATAAGATATTAGGTTTGTTCAATACTACACAGCACTATATTGTATATCTATATTTTACTGCATACTTTTAGGCACTTTCAGACTGATAAAATAATTACAGTTATTTTAAAGATTTGGATTTTAAAATTTTGTATACACAAAATATTTCTAAATAATGCTCATGGCTACCATCATGAAAAATATTTTCTTCTTATTAGATCATTCATTTATATAGTTTGTACGCCAATCTTTATTTTAATGTTTTCTGTATGTAATTCAAAAGTTAATTAAGAACTTTTGAATTCAATATAAAAATATTTTTCTTTACTATTCTATTTGATAGTTTATGTATTATTAACTTAAAAGAGCAAGTGATTTTTTTTGTTATTTTATTTCTTTTTAACCAAAAAAAATCTGTAAATAATGCTTTCATAAAACAAATCTAGAACAGTTTCGAAAGAAACAAAGAAATTAAGGTACTTCATTTGGGAAACCTTCACTGTAAGTATATCCCCATTTATGAAGTACAATTATTACTGGGTATGGAAATTGTCACCCCCCGTAGAGTTGGATCGCAGCCACTTCCGTTTTTCCCATTTTCCCTTTCGCTTTCCCCATTTCCACATTCCCTCCAACTGCATCGCCTACGAGATGCAAATGTGACCGAATTCCCCGAAGCACACACGGATGCTAGGAGTCCTGATGGGAAATGGGATATGGGATAAAGGATATAGGGGGATCGGGGGATCGGAGGACTATAACAAGAGCAAGCAACAGTTATCATTATGCTGGGGCGAGTCAGTCAGTCAGTCAGTCAGTCAGCCAGTTGGACCGACGGTCCTTTGCACATTTGCAGCTAAATCACGTACTCTGTAAATGTGCTACTAATGAGCGCAGGAGAGAAGGCACAGCCAGGAGTGGCTGCACTGAGAGAAATATCTTCAACTAGATTGAAACTTAAGAGTTTACATTTATATGATACCCGTAGACTACCAATGTCCTCTTTTTTGCAATGGTGTTTTTGATAACTTGCTATCTTTTACTGCAATTCGATTAATTTTGGTTATATGAAAAATTATCTATTATATAGTATTATTACTATTACTATATTATTATTATTATTTTATTATATTTTTACTATTACTATAACTCTAGGAACTCAAAGTTATAGTTTGTATAAAAATAATAAGTAATATATTGTCATATATTCTAGTTCTAATAAATGCACATGATATGTGGAACACACTGGAATAAAGTTCCTATGCTAAGGTACTTAGGAAATCAATTGAATTAAGTGTTTCTACAAGAAATGGTTCCATGTTTTTCCTAATTGAAATTCCCTTAATTACTCTAAAGTAACTATACAATATTTTTTGCAGTGCTTTAAGCGGCGGCAGTCAGGCATCAAGGAGCCTAATGTCCCTGATTTTACAAATGATTGTCGAACAAATACCCCCACCTATTAACCCATGTGTGCCCACCTTGGCACTCGGCTTCCACACACACTCACACACACACACACACAACCACGAACACACACAGAGAAAGTCGATTCAATCATTGCGGGGCGTGTGTCTGTGTAAACAGGTTCTATAAATAAATGCTCATTTCTTTGGGGGCAGGAACAATGCCCCCGTCGAGGTGGTTTTACTCTGGTAATGGTGGCGTTGTGGCAAAAGGGACCCCCCAAAGTTTTCAACAATTGGTCCAGCCTAAAAGCAGGCACCAAAAAGTTAACACAATAGTCATAAACCCACGCCGAATCAGAAATTTACTCGTATGTAACAGAGCTTGTCAAAATAACTAGACGTATGCCATCTAATCAGTTGATATATTTTTGGAAACCAATCAGTTAATGGCAAAAAATTCTTTAAGTTTAAAGTATTATGTAATTAAATATATTACTTTTAGCTTCAGGAGTTACAATTTATATATGTTTTAAAAATATATTTATCGGGACTTGACAAATCTTTTATTAATTTATTCAATGTTAATAAATTGGAAATAGTTTAGAATTAAGTTGACCTAGAAATATTTTTTAATACACAATAAAAAGATGGATTTTTTTTACAAATGGACACTCTTTGATTTTTACAATATGCCTCAATACTGCAAATATTTAAGGGTATTAAATTGGAAATACTTTAGAATTGAGTAGACCTTGAATTATTTTTGAACACACAATAATGGGACGGATTTTTTACAAATGGAAACTCTTTGATTTATACAATACAGAATGTTTTTAATAGTGTTAAATTGAAAATACTTTCGAATTGAGTTGACATAGAATTCTGTTATGTAGGTACTTTACATACTTAATAAAAAGTAGTTTCTGCAGGATTTTATTTACAAATGAAACCAGTTTGACTTGTAATATTTCCCTCAAAACAGAATTTATTTCATAGCTTTAATATTTCATTTACTTTGCACAAATAAATTCTGTAAGCCTGCGTCAATGGTTATGGCAGTTAATTGAAGTCCCACATTTAAATACAGTTTGAAATGTACTTACCTGTTGAAAGGTGGCAGCAATTTGAACGCAGAGACCAACAAATGGCAAACAGAAGTGAGCCAATTGGAACTTTAACTTCGTAGAACTAACAAAACTATCTGGGCGAAATGTCAGAGATCTGTTTCCGTTTCCGATGAGTTTCTAACTTACTAAGTTGTTTCCAATTCGAAACAAAGTTTCCTGAACTGGCAAATAAACAGCAGCCGAGAGATTGGCTCAATATCTAGGAGGCCTCACTGTACTTTGATTTTTTTCGGACAAAAATCTCAACGATTTCGAGAAAATGTTTCGCAAAAATGCCCTTGAGACTAGAAAGTTTACATCAGTTTTTGGCTTTGAAGTAAAAATCACTTGGGGAGTTGAATTTCAGTTTAAGTTCTTTATAACTGATGTGAATTTGTGGAAATTTTGTGCTTCATGTTTTAGTTTTCCTTCAGTCAATTAAGACAAATTATTCTATTTGAATTTGGGCAAAAATTATTTGGGAACATAATGAAGATTCGATTTTAATTTAATTTTCTCCTGAATTTTAAAGATTAAGTCGCTTGATTAGCTTGAAATTGTGAAAACTAAATTTAGATTAATTTATTTCTATATATATTGCTTCGTTTATTGCCTTGCATTGGTTTGATATAAACATATTTGTGTGTTTTTTTAGGGGAGTTTGTAAAGTGTTAAACATAATATAAACATTGGCATGATAAATAAATATGGCCTTACACAAAAAACATAATTTATTTAATGTATTTGCATGACAAACGCCATATAATTGAAGTTTACTCTGCGGTTAAAATTACAATTGTTAATTGCCAATAACAAAAGTGGCTTTTAGATTTATTTGCGGCATTATTATTTGCCAAATCCATTGGCATTCGAAACCATGGAAGTTAATTGCAAGTGCAGGGGACCAAATTAAAATACCGAAAACAAAAAAGGGAAAACAGGAAATCATTCGAGTAAATTAAATTTGTCAAAATATTTACGTACTAGATGCCTAAATCTAGATACATTATGAGTATTTCATAGAGTGCTTTCTCTACTTACATGTTGATTTTGTCTTCTTAACTGGCTGCTGCCTCGTTTGAGCTTGGTTTCCTGGGTTCTGGTTACCTTTTTGGCTTAGGATTTCTTCTCCCCGGGTTTTGGCATTTAAAATCAGCCTGGCATCTGCCGCTTTTTCTCTTCCTTTTTTTCTTATTTGTTTTATTTATATGATCAATGTTAAAGCATCTGTTGCTTGTCAGGTCCTCTGAGTATGGCTTAAGGATTCAGTGGTGAGTAGATCAGGTATGTATGACTTCTGAGTTGTTGTACTTCCGTGGTAATCAGGTAGTTTGAGTGATTCGATGGGGGTGCTCGGATAACTATTGCATTGCTTTCGGTTCACAAAAAAATTAAAAAAAATACTCTTGTACTCTTGTAATGTATAGTAGTAATTCGAGACACAAACACACTATGTTTTTTTTGGCACTTTGAAAAAAAAAACTATTGTCCTGTGACTTGTTGCACGTTTCCCAGATTGCTACTGTGATTGAGCTGAGCTGTTGATGTTGCTGCCGTGCTGTTGCTGTGTTGCCAGTGTTGCTGTTGCTCCTGTTGCTGCTGTTGCGAGGCGCACAACCTTTTGGCTTGGATGTTGAACAGCATCTGTTGCTCCGCTGTTGGCCAACTGACGAAGCCACCTCGTGTGGCGGGCTCTCGGCACTTCGGCTTTGAACCCACCCCCTCAAGAAGGCCACCCACGCCGCCCACTCTGCCCCAAAAACACCCACTCCACCCCCCGGGAACAACAAGTGGAAAGTGTGTAACTGTAACGACGACCATGACGACGGCAGCAGCAGCAACAGTCGAAGCAGCAGCAGCAACAGCAACAGCAACAGCAACAGCAGCAGCAGCAACAGCAACAGCACGCCAGCAACAGCAACAGCACGGCAGCAACATCAGCAGCTGCGACAGCAACAGGCTTACGTGGCGCCCAGGTGATACGATGATGCGATGGAGTGGCACTACCAATACTCGGTCTATTTTTCGGGGGTTGCTGCCGCTTGAGGGGAAATTAAATGGCAGCTCAGCTCGCTGAATCGCTGATTAGGGGAAGTATTCGCCTGATGTTGCAACCGACGCTTTTCATTCAAACACCATCGCAAATGTGTTGAAAAATTCGGTGGATGGTTAACGATTATGCAGATCCTCAGATTTTATCACTTCTTAAACAACTTTTTTTATGCAGAGATTAGTTATATTTTCAAGACATATTCACAGAGTAAACTTTACCTTAATCCTTTTCATATACTCGTTTAGTATCCATACCAATAATGAAAGAAGAAAGAAGAAAAAGTTGGGTACCGGCTTTAAGTTAAGGTTATACTTAAATTTGGTTCTTCCTTCCAACTGAAATTAAAGTGAAGAAGAAGGTCTATGTTAATTGTATCCCAAAAAGCTTAAGATTAGTTTAAAGTACCGATATTGCGTGGCACTGCATCAAGTCTTCGATAATGACGAGTAATGTAGGGAGGAAATGGAAGGTTCTTAAGTAAAAGTTCTTATTAAAATAGTTTTTCATTTTTTGGTATGACCCTAGTATGCGGTATAGGAAATACCACATTCACAACCACATCGGAATGGCATTTTACCTCTTCAACCCTGTTTTTCAACACTTTTTATTTTAGTAAACGGCATTTAATGAAACAAATATTATGCGCAGAATTAATGTATTCCAATTGGATATTTAATTAAACAAGATAATCGTTTGTTAATTGTGAATGGTAAAATGCAATTAAAATAGAGAATCGACCTCAAAGCCATCTGAACTAGACTTAAGAATTGATTCTCCTATGATTAAATTTTCGGAAATGGCGCGGAAATACTGATATGATACTAGATACAGCCGAACTATTTCCAAATTTGTAAGACCTGCTAGTAAATAAATAAATCATGTTATTTATTATTTTCCAATACTTGATAAAGTAGGCGTTTTAAAACTATAAGGGTGGAACTGTCATTTGGAACGGTATATAAAGAGGGCTTGGCCGTTGTTAGAAGTCATTTGACATCAGAAATGCCTAAAAAACAAACCAAAAGGGCTCCGAAAAGGAAGCAAGTGCAGGAAGTGCCCCGCGGTAATTCGGAGGAACCGTCCACCAGCAAGGGACTCCGCCCGAGGCCAGTTCGTCCGGGAGTGGTCCACCCATCTGTTATCAAGCCACCGGATCCCATTGGTAACCTGGTGGTGCGCAAGAGTGGCACTATGATTCTGCGTCCGAAGCCGGCACGTCCGGGAATGGTCCACCAGAGCGTCAAGGCCTCGAAGAAGAATGTGGATCCGTCTCCCCGCCAGGAGATGGCTTCCACAAGCCGCGGCCTGGCCCGTCCAGTTGATAGTTCTAAGCTATCCTCCCCACTCCCCGCAGAAGCGGAAGAATCCTCCCCACTCCCCGCAGAAGCGGAAGAATCCTCCGAACTCATCTTTGACCAAGAAGCTGCCGGTGGCCAAGGATGTCACCCTCAATCGGGGATCGGGGATCCCTCCCCTAGGTCCATGTAGAGCGCCACACCCATGCGCAGAAGCGCCGAACGCGCCGCGGAATTGCTTAGTCTTATTCTGGACAAATGTCTTAATAAAGCTTTAGCTTTTCTGCAAAAGGGATTTAATTTGGCATTTTATATTCTCTTGATATTTGTTTTAGCTGCGTTGTTTACAAATTGCAACCATTATCATCGAAGGCATTTTACCAAAGAGGCAAAGCATTTCGAGTTTTTGAAAAGCTACAACTTTTGATTACCTACATAGGTAAGGTACAAAGTATTTGGAAAATAAAATACATAGGTACCAGCGTATTCTTAAAGTAAATAAAAAGCTTTACTTAGGTAAGGTGAAAGATACCAAAAAATGTACCTAGGTACAAGAACTTAGGTACTTTCCACCTCTGTTTAATTATTGAACAAATAAAATTTATAAAATAATGTCCATAACTCGTATATATGTTTACCTTAATTCAGTGCTTATAAGCAACATTTAAAATAATTCTTATTAAATGCAGAAACATTAATTTATTTGTTTGTTGAAACTGTTTTTCATTGCAAAATTAATATTAAATTCATAGGGACATATTTCGTGTTTATATCTCTGTGCAAATGGTTCTTGTGTAATGCAGGTACATTTATTTAACTAATTTATTTGTTCAATTTTGCTGGCATATAAGGTATATCTAGGTACTCCCCGACACTGTTTTTCATTGTAAAATTAATATTAAGTATCACAGGGACATGTTTCGTGCTTATATTTCTGTGCAAATTATTATTGTTAAATGCAGGTACATTTATTAAACTAATTTATTTGTTAAATTTTGCTGCCTGGCTTATAAACTTCATCCATAACCATTGTCATTAAGGGAATTGCTGAATGAGGTGTGGTTGAAAATATATATATATAAAAACCTATACCAAAGTAAAATAAAAGGTACCACAAAATGTTGCCAAGTAGTTTCCAGGTACTTCCCAACAAGGTGTTTTTATTGTAAAATTTAAATCAAGTTTCTAATAAAAGGGACCTAATTCGTATTTAAATTTCTGCCTGAATTCGGTAAAATTTATTCTCGTTAAATGCAGTTAACTGATTTATTCGTTTGTTTTTATGTCTGGCTGATAAGGCAAAAGGTACCACAATATGTTGCCTAGGTACTGCCCAACACTACATTTATTGTGAAACTAAAATCAAGTTTCAAATAAAAGGTACCTAATTCGTATTTACACTTCTGCCTGAATCCAGTGCAAATTATTCTCGTTAAATGCAGGTACATTTGGTCAACAGATTTATTTGTTTGTTTTTGCTGCCTGGCTTATAAATTGCAGCCATAACCACTATCATTAAGGGAATTGCTGAATGAGGCGTAGCTATAAATTGCATATTGCATCCAGTGCGAAGCTCGCTGGCAGTAATTCTGCTAACTTGATTTACGCAGATCATTGCTATTGGCGCCTTGACAGCCTTGGTCCGAATGCCAACAGCAAGGTTGCGGGTGGTTGGGTGTTTGGGTGGTTGGGTGGGTGGTTGGGTGGGCGGTTGAGTGGGCGGCAGCTTGTGGGTGGGTGGATGAGCGAGCTGATGAATTCGGTGGGCCGCGTGGATGTGCAACGCCTACGCCAGCGGCTTACCTGTTGGACCTGTGCGCCGTACGGGGCGTATGCGCAATATGCACTTCGTCAACAGGTTAGCCTTGAGCCCCAGAGCCTTGTGCCCCAGCCAAGGCCACCGATTACCCCACCGCCCACGCCCCATCTCGCTCGCACCCGGCGCACATTCAGCGCATGCCCCAGACGCGAAGGCGTCGAAATTCCGGCGGAGAGTCCCCAAAAGCCCCGCGATTGGCCCACCCAATTCAGCACCCCCAGTGGTTGGCCTTTTTATCATTGAGGGGAATCCGAGCCCGAGAATCCGAGAATCCGTGAATCGGCGAATCTGCCCGATAGCCAGTCTTTATGGCAGCCGATTCTTCCAAAAATCAGTCCTTTTATGGTAATAACTCTCCAGCTTTATTTTTTATTTTGCTAAAATATGTATAAATATAAACTATTTATTTTCCATATTTATGTCTCATATTAAGAGCCACTTATTTAAATTAAGCATCGTAAATTAGCATATTTTGCACAATTTTAAAATTATAAATAAACTATATTAGTAACAGTAATAAAACACCGACTTAGATGCATTTTTTCGTAAACGTTTTAGTCATGTTTTTGAAAAATTACACAGAAGAAGCCCCTCTCTTTTGTTTTTCTGATTTATAATTTTTAACTATACCAAAATTCTTAAAATTAAATTTGTATAATAAATTTATTTGTTGAACTTCACTTTGAACTTCATATAACAATTTTACATTATTTAATATAAAAATGAAATCTACTACTACTTTTAAGTTATAAAAAACATTTTATTGCATTGAACAATTTATATTTCTTAATATTAACATGAAATCTACTAAACAAACAGTTTTTATGATATAAAAAACATTTTATATAATAAAATCAATTTAATATAAATTTGTTTTGTAGATTTTATATTAATATTAAATATTATTAAATTGTTCAATTACCAATTAAATCAAATTGAAATTTATTTATTTTATCATGGCTGTTATTCATTTTAGAAAACCAAAACTAGGCATAACTAAGTAATTTACTACGTCTTACTACACATAATAAAATATAACATGTGTTATGTGTTACATGTTTTAATGTATCATCTCCTTACCAATTGAATGTGCATATATCTTTCATTAAATCCAATCCAATAATGGTATAAATATGTTATCAATTAAACTCAAATTGAATGTTATTTATTTCATTATGGCTGTTATTCATTTTGGAAAACCAAACTTAGGCATAATTAGGCAAATTTACTTTGTGTTACTACAAATGATATAATAGAACATTATATCCTGTGTTATGTGTTACCTGTCTTAATGTATTATCTCCTTACCCATTGAATGTGCACATATCTTTGATTAAATCCAATTTATTGAAGCCGAAAAGCCTTAAGCTAAGGAATTCGCCTATCGCCTGAAGGGAAATGGAAACCTGTGTTGTGGTTCGCTTGGCTAATGAAACCTCCTTGCAGAATCGATATGCGTGTGTTTGTGAGATTTTGCATTCGCCATTCAGTTTGGGCAGTCATTCAAAACGAGACAACATCGAAATCCTTCCTGCTACACATTTACACCCAAAATGCTATGTAACCTATCCAATTAGGGAGCTGAATGGGTTTCGACTGAGTTAGCACCGTGGGAGCTCAGGTGTTTACTCTACGTGCGGGCAAATTGGCTGCCATGCCAATGGAACTGAATTCTTTCCCCCTTTTTTTTTTTTTACTTTTTTTTAATAATTCGCAAGGCTTTAAGTGCGGTGCTGGCGACGCCATTCCAATCCAGTTATCCAGATATTCTGGCCAGCTCGTGTCCTGCCCTCTTGACCTGTTGCCATGGCGAGGACACACATTAAATTTAACATAACCCTGCTCTTTTAGATCCTCTTTCTAAAATGGGGGAGCTGGGAGCCATGCGAAAAGTCATAAATTGCGTCAAGGCAAGGTCGGGGTGTAATGGGTCGAATACGTAATACCTGTGCAAGCGCAATTATCGGAATTACTGAGGGGGTCATAAATGGCTCAAAAAGGGGGGGAAAAACCACTGCATTCCAATTTGATTTTAGTTACGTATAAACAGGTCAATCCTATGTTTTCTAGCCTTTAAAAATTCTAAAGGTGCATAATCTATAATTTACAGGTCAAATTTTAGCAGCTATATTCATTTCTTAATCACTAAATTCACAAATAAATGTTTTATTTATCTGAAATCCCTTCATTATTCATTCTGTAAATTTACAGCCGTCCCCTTGCCAACAATATTTATCATTCAGTTGTGATAAATCGAGGCTTAACATATTTCTAGTGTGAATCAGCAACGCATTAAATCCTCAGCCCATAAAAACCGCATTATGCAACGAAGTAACTCACGTAAATACCTTCAGATATAGATAGGGATTCGTTCGCAGGTGCAGTTGCAGATGCAGATGCAAAAACAGATGCATCTGATCCCATCTGCATGCCCCACACATTCCGATGCAAATGTAATTCGCTTTCCACATTTCATTTTTCAACTTTCAACTCTGGCCAACCAGAAGGGAAAAAAAGCATAACGAATTCGTTTTTCACAAATTGTGACCAGAAAGTAAATACAAATATTTATATCAGCCCTTCATGCGAGTGAAATAGGGGGGAAAAATTCGTTGAAGTGGTTCATCTGTTGTACAAATATGTGGGACTCGAAATGAGTTTCACTGCGTACATAGCAAACAGTGTGCCCAAAGGTGCTTTAACAAAAAGTCCAACCAAAATGAATCATGTCCGTAATCGACCTAAAGGACGGCAGTCTCTTGTTTTAAGTTTCAATGCAATATTGTGTGATGGCAAAAAAATGGCATTGTTTTCACGTTTTATTTGTTTGCTCAGCGGGGGTAAGAACTGTTTCAAAATGAAAATAATTTATTGTAGCTCAAAAAATGGTAAAATATACGCTTAAAAATTATATTTGATAATTGTCTGATTTATTCGTGAACTTCATCAAGGCCAAAAATGCCAGGAATTTAATCGAAGCCAATTGAGTGAAGAAGTGGTTTAATTGGAACAGTTAATTTATTTATTGCTGGAATTGGCTGGGTTCTTCGGTCTGCAATTTTCGATGGGTTCCGGGTCCCATTCCAAAGTCTGCATTATTCTCCGAATGGTCAAGTAGCTTCGTGGTAAAGGCCTCTCGCAGGGCCATTCGGTAATCGTCTCCGTAGTACCGAATGTGCTCCAAAAGCCTTCCCCGGCTGTCGATTACGTAAAGGAAGTGGGGCTCTCGGTCATCGGGGACATCCTCAAGGACCTCCGCCGGCTTTGGTAACTCCATGCGATCCTGGAGATCGTAGCCACCCAGCAAACTGGGTTCCGGAAAACTGCTGACCGGCGGCACATACACATTGATGCTGTTCTGGGTGCGGGACATTCTTTTCCACTGAAATTTTGGATGAACTGATCAAAAGAGAAGCAACTTATAGAAATTTCAAATCGGTAAGTAGATTGAACAGACATCTCAAGGCATACTTTTCAAGAAATATACCTAATAAAAAACGAAATGCTATAAAGAAATCTGCAAAATTCCGCAATGTGTTGCCATTTTTCTTCACCTTCTATTTATATTTATATATTTCCGTTTTTATTTTAAAGACCAACAGACCCATTACATTTTTATATATAAATGACCCTCTCACCTTTTAGAGTTTAGAAAACCATTTATTAATAAGTGAGCCACTTTAACTACAATTCAAATTTTTTGTCCAGCTTAAGATACAAAAAATATTCATTTTATTATGCTATAGATTTTGGAAAGACATCAAATGGACCTTCATCGCCGCTCAGACCTTTATAATAATTCTTAAATAAATAAGAAGAAAAATGTTTTTAAGTTTCTGAATATTTTACTATGCCTCCTGCATTTCCCAATTAGCAACTTTAATTCTTTTTGCTTCCCTGTCTATTACATGATTTTAGATTATTAATATCTAAAACTTGCTAATTATGCTGTCTGCATGAGTTTGCACTAGCCAATATAAAATCCGTAATTAGTGTGGCTGCTGCAAATTATTGATATCAATATGCACCACTTTTTCGGTTTTAGCTGAAATTAATGAGCTGACAAATTTGGATTACAATTTCACTTGGAAATTATTTTTTCTGCATTCAGCATTTGGCATTTTAATTAAAACCCCAACTAATTATGTGTCACAATTTACCAGGCCTATTTTTTTTGCATACACATTAGTTCACGCATGGATACTTGAAACTCGTTTTTAATGCTGTTCCATAAATTACATTTGTGTCGTTAATTAACGAGATGTGGCACAATTTTTACATTGTATTTGATCAAACAATATGCACATTGATTGGCTCTGACAGGAGGCGTTGTCATAATTTGAATTCATTGTATTTTGATACCTCGTGTTTGTTCTGTTTCGGTTTCCGATGAAAATTAAACATTCCTGCCCACGCAGCGAGGGGGGAAAGTAAAGTTATTATGTATTAAACATTGTATAATTCATTGTTCTCATTTTAGTCATTGTACTTATTGACTTTATTTAATCACTTGAAGCTTATTTTAAGCGTGGCAAGTGTTGTGTTTACTGTAATATTTTTTAAGCACGCTTTAATTCCAAAAAAATATTTGTGATTATTTTTTACCTATTTTTCAAGTTTGTTTTTTTAAATTATTTTTTAAATTTTTGTTGAGCTTATTAAATTGATTTTTTCTGATTTCTTCAACTGCCCTTTTTTGTGGCCTTTCAGCCTTTTTAAAGCACTTACTAGGAAAAGGTATGTTAGTTAAGTCAACGAATTAAAATATAAGAACTATTATTATTATTAGATAAATAAATATACTTTCCTTAATCTGGTTTATTTATTTTTAATTTAGAAAAATGTCCAGGAAGAATGCCCTGACAGTTGACCAGATTTTTCCACTATTTTTCACTATTCCCAGAGCATGTGAGATTCGCGGAATTTCCTGGCGGCACTAATCAAATTATAGACTGCATTGTGATGAACATGAATGGCAATGCACAATGGAAATTGGATGCTCTTTTGACTCGCAAAAGGACAATGGCAGAACGCACCATGTCATGCGGTCATGTCCACCGACACAAGACAAATAATTAACTCTCTGATCAAATTCCAATGTCACGAACAGAAAATCGAATTGGAGCCTTGAGGTCCTTTAAAGCCGATCAACGAAGGACAAGCCTGCGAAATGGCTTCCTCCCAGAAATATTAGTTCACAAATAATTTGAGAATCAAAGGATTCTGTTGTCAATTAAATAATTTCTGTATCAGGCATCTCAGCTTTATGCTCTTTAATTCACTTATTCCAATTTACAAATTTCAAATGCCTCAAAATACTCCAAAAAACATTGCATAAATAAGGTTTAAAAAATTATCTTATAAAATTTAATTTTTCTTAGAATTTTAGAACAGTTACAATGTTTATAAATAAATCAGTCGCAGATTTTAAATCATTGCCTTTACCAATTTAGCAATTTTAAGTACAGCTTAAATAATATTAAATATATATTTCGTTATTAATTTAAACATTTTAACTACAAAATATCGAATAATTACTTTGGGTAAGCTTGAAAAAATTAATTAAGTAATTATAAAATGTTGTTACTCTGCTATCCATAGGTTTAAAAAAAAGTAAGGCTCTACAAAATGAAACAGTACACTGTTTTTAAATAAATTTGTCGCACGTTTAAAAGCATTGATTTTTTATGCACTTCTACAAATTGACCAATTTTGAGTTAAATATTTAAGTCTTAAATAATATTGAATATTTATTTTATCCATTTTTACCAAAAAATATTCAATAAAAACATTGGGTAAACAGGTTTAAGTCAAGTTTTTCTGTTATCCTTAGGCTTAAAACAAAAATGTAGGCTCTAAAGAATGGAACACTTACACTGTTTTTTAATAAATTAGACGCAATGTAAAAACAATTTTTATTTAATACTTTTAAAATTGTATTTTTGTATGCAAAACCTAATCAGGCCAAAAATTCTTGTCTACATTCTATAGTTGTCACAGAAATATTACCTTCACATACTCCAAATTTCATGGTTTTTTTTTATTATTTAAGGAATTCAAATAGTTGTAAAGCTCCGAAATACCTTTCATGTTATTTTGCTTAATACACCATAATTGGACTTTCAAAGCGAATAAATTCATAGAGCGATCCTAATGCAGAGAGGTCCCTTTACCACACGAGGTGAAAGCCATGGTCAACGTTTCGTCAGAAGGCACTAATTGAACACTCTGTCATGGACAAAAACAGAAAGTCGACACCAAAACAACTGCATCCACGGTCACGGCGAGGGTCATAATTAATTTGATTTCCGGCCAAACTAAGTTAGTCGGTGGCAAAAGTTTTCTCATGAACACCGGACACACGAGCAAATAAACACAAAGTGCTACATTTTACATTTATTAGCCGCTTTTTCTGTTAAATAGGATGCATTTTGGCCTTGCCGGCGCAATTTATGAATATGTCTGGCATTTTTAAATCAAATTTCTAGTTTAATGGCTTTCCTAAAAATTTAACAAATATATAAAATAAAAAAGAATACATTTTACAGGGATGAATTTTTTTCCTAGAAGAATCCCTATTCAAATTAATAATAACTTTGTATTGATCAGCAAATAAATTAAAATGTCTGTTCAATGACAAACAATGTTAATCAAAATATTTTTGGTAAATATACATATTAATTTTCAATTAATCGTAAAATAAATATTAGAATATTAGAACTAGATTACTTAAATTCCTGCAAGCTAAATGTGGTTTTCTTCCCCCGTGAATTTTGTCCTTTTTTGATAGGCATCTGGTTGCCAAGCTTAGTTTAACCCATTCCTAATTGGCAAAAGTACCTTGCTTTCAGTTTCCAGAAATTCATAATAAGAGTTCGCCTTTGCATGTACAGCAATTTTTAAGGGTGGTGGCTTATTAGAAGTCGGCACCCACTGGATTCCTGGATCCGATTCGGAAATGTGAGATGAATTTCTTACCCAGAAGCCCCATGCAAAGGATGCAATTCCAAAGAACAAGCGAATTCCCCCCAAAGGTGTTGCAGCTCCTTTGATGGAGGACATTTCCAGGACCTTCTTTCAGCCGGCTTAAAATGAAACAAGCCAGAAACAAGGCAGACACAGGAATGCAACAGCTGCCTGTTTATAAATTCTCCTTCATCTGGTGATTTGATACAAATGGCAGCTGGGCAACTTATTAATCACAGGGCCAATATAATCCTTTGGGGCAGAATGCAATCATCAACTGAAATCCTGCCAAAGGAGCTGGCAGAAAAAGCAGCAGCTGTTGAAATTGCGCAGTCTTAAATGTACTCGGATATTTAAAGTTTAACTTTTAGGTACAATATATTAAATATAACATTTTTTGATCAGTAATTAGTTTGCAATTACTGGTGACCATTATATTGCTTAACTTTGAGGTCCACGCTAATAAATATATAATTTTAAAATATTTTAATATTAATTACAGATTCCTCTTTTACTACTCTACTCATTAAACATTTTTCTTTGACGAGAATGCAATTAAATTAATAAAATTAGTGTACATTTTCATTAAATTCTAATTAAATTATAATTGCAATATTATTACATTAAATAAAATATGTAAAAATTGTCAGACACACAAATTTTTTAATAAAGAAAACAATACATTGTGTGTATATTATACATGCTCGTTTTTAGGTATCGTAAATAAAATAAATAAAATAAAATATTCCTAGCATTAAAATTCATTCATTAAAGCTAAAAAATATGAATTTTAATCGATTAAAGCTTTTTAAAAATATTAAATATATATTTAAATACCATAGTGTTCTATATTCCAGTATATTTTTCTGTTGAAGCTTAAAAATATTAATTTGAATCGATTAGAGCTCTTTAAAAATATTAAATATATATCTGAACATTATATATAAAGTTCTGCACCCCAGAATATATTTTCTTTTAGGCTACGAAAATATTAATTTGATTTTTTTAGGCTCTTTAAAAATATTAAATATATATTTAAATGCCATAATGTTCTGTACTCCAGAATATTTTTCTGTTAAGGTTAAGAAAATACTAATTTGAATTTTATTAATCTTTTATAAATATGAAATATATATTAAAATACCATAATGTTCTGTACCCCACAATATATATTCCTTTAAAGCTACGAAAATATTAGTTTGAATTAATTAAATCCCTTTAAGAGGCCACAATCTGGGCGTAAATGTGCCACAGACAATAATCCGCATATGGTTATTGGCCGTCGTAACTTTAATTCAACCTTAATTTAAAGCATTTAATTGCTGCGACTTGTGAAATCCTTAACTTCCCAGTGCCGGTTTACCAAGGTGTGCGATGGTTCACATGAGCTTTATGCCCGGGACAATAAAGAGAAAAATAATAAAGGATATGCGAATAAATTGTGACTCCTTCTTTTGTGGCTGTGGCCCATCTCTGGGCCATCGCTTTCCATCTTTTCCCCCTCGCAAAACACACAATGTGGAGCACATTGTGGCGTTTTAAGCGGAAAATATGCCGCACTTCCGCTTGCCACACACACACACACACAGACACAGTTGACTTGGTTACCGTTATAAGACAGACGCCAAGATGGCTGCCACTGTATCTGTGTGCCACTGCTTATGCGTGCGAGTGTGTGTGCGTGAGCCAGAATTTACTGCCATTATATTTATATATTATTATAATGCCAGGATGGCAAACAAAGTGTTGACAGAGCGGCTGGGCGGAGAAAAGAGGGCAAAACGACCACCACCAACGACTTACGCTAACCAAATACGTTTGCGTTCCGTTTCACATTTAATTGCCTAATCGCACTTAAGACCGCCGATTCCGATTCTGTTTCCGTTTCCGGCATCGGTTTAAGGCCCCCTTTTGAGCCCAAAATCTCGGATTTTCCCCCTGGCCGCCAGGAGCACTTTAAAATTGAATTTCAAGTCTTGGCGAGGCTTTGGCGAGAACTCCACTGGGAGGGCTAGCTATTTACATTTTGAGTTAATTGAATACATTGCGTTCGATCGGATAAACTCACTTGCCCTGCTACTTGGGCATAATTAGGAAATACAATCAAAAGGTTTTGGAAATTTTAAATATTTATCTTATGCTTACACCCAAAAAAATGGGAGTTAAGTTGTATTTTAAGTATACCAGAGGCGGTGTTGAAATTGAAGTATATAATTGTAAAGTCAGCTAGACAATTATAAAAAGCTTGCCTTGTTCTAAGAAATGTAGGTAAATGAAGTGACGTTTACTTAATTTATTCATTGCATTTTGCAATACATTTAAAATGACAGTCAACAAACTAAATACATTTTTTAATGATATACAATTTAAAGACTTTAAAAGTATTTATCACTTTTAAAATATAAGTAATCTTTTATATATTTTTTTTTAACCAGCCACAAATAACTAAGCGGCCTTGTCATTCATATTCCTGTTTATACTTTTGTCGTGAAAACATAACTTTTTTCTGAGAAAATTTGACTTATAGACACAAACAAAAAGTTTCGTTCAAGTTAGATAAAAATCAAGAATAGGAAAATCAAGGGTTGGAACTACAGTTATTTTGTACCTCTTTAAAAGTCCAAGGAAAAAAGATATAAGAATCAATACCCCTTTTTCCTTTTTTATGATAAGTTTTACATATATTGCTTTGTATTTATACTTAAAGGTCAATCCTTGCTTAAAATCAATTTGATAAACAAATAAATAGAGAAATAAAAACGCTTAGCGCTACGCTGACATCCAGGTTAAATCGCAGAACACTTTTTGCATTGATCTCTATTGACCCAATAATTCAGTTAATATTTTAAAACACCCGCCAATACGGTTTCATTTGAACCAGCTCGATCTCGAGTTGTTCGCTTAATTGATTTGATTTTGGACTAGTCCTTGGCAGAAACAGAAAAACATGGAAAACCGAGGGCGCAAAGGATTCATTACATGCTTTTTGTCCTTAATTATCGAGCTGAGTGCGAGCGGTCTTATTTACCCACCTGGCCGCATCTTTGGGGTCTTTAATTGGACCTTGGGTATTTTTGGGGAGATTCAAGGGATAAATGCATGGCAGTGGGGGAATCGAAATGAAATTCCCCTGGCAAACAATGGTCCAGTTGCGTTCATTATCATTCACCGCAATCGGAAGGACACAACACGACACGACATGGACAAGAGAAAACTTTCAAAAGAAAATTGCAACAACAGGAATGGGTTTTCCCAGGAAAAAGTAGGTGGAGGGGGGACTCCATGTTTCGAGGGACTCTTCTGTCAGAAAGCGGAATAGTCCTGGTCCAAGGAGTTTCAGCCAAGGACCAAAGTTTTGGTGTGAAATTAAAATTGGAATTAAAAGCACAATGAAGCCAGCAGCATCCAGACAGCAGTAGAAAGAGAGAAAGAGAGGGAGACAACGGGCAGCAGAAAGAGACGGCCTATCTGGGGCAGAGTGAGACGGGTAGAGTCTGGTATTGGCCAGAGGTCTTAGTGCTAAATGATTTATGGCTGTTTGCATGCCCCGTCCTTATGCAAATTGTTTTCGAGAATCTGACAAAACGATGAAGTTTTCATTAGGGTGCCATTAGAACCTCCGTTTAAGTTATGGCAAAAATGTCGGCCCTCTTCCCTTCAGCTTGACATTCATAACGCCATAAGCTGGACACGCCGCATACGGTTGATAGATCGTTGGAAAGGAGCTTTTTGTTTCACTTTAAAAAAGTAGTATAAGTAAGCCTGTTCTGGCACAGCCTTTGACTAGATGTTTTTCAGTGGTAATTTGGTCAAACCAAGGTACACAGCCTACAGACAGACTGTTTTTAGCAGCTTATAACTGCGACTGTTGAACTCCATCACTTTTCGGGAAGTTTAATTTTTCAACAATTTTCACATTTTTCAAAAGGGGGTACATTTCGATTTTTTGCAAAAATGGCAATAATAGAAAATAGGTTTAAATGCCAATGGATTGAAAATTAAACAACGAGCTCAACGAGGTATGATATTCCTCATTCTGACATATATTTTCATTATGCCAGCCAAAACAGTGATTTTTAAGGGTGGAAAAGTAAGTAGTAAAGAATTTCACTGCACTCTTTACGATTTATGATTTTTACAATTTTGTTTTTAAAATTATAAATAAATAAAAAAAAATATATCATGGTAGCTGGGAGAACAGCTTCTCGATCAGAATCAGTATTCGCTTTAGTATTCAATTGAAAACATTCTCGTGAAAGGGGAACAAAATTTTAGTTTTACACAAATAAAAATATAAAATAAAAAGTATGGACGGCAAAAAAAACGGGATGGCAACATGTGAACCAGCTTACAAGTTCCAGAAAGCAGCGAACATTACAATCAATGGCTATCTAAACTTTTTGACCGAATACAAAAAGCGATATTGCGGAATTTCCCCACAGGTCGTGATACGTTTTGGAGCTAGAGAATGGAACAAGATGAGCCTCCAGGAAAAGGAACGGTTTAATCATATGGTAAGTAAGAAATATCTTAGTTATGATAAATATGTAGTAATTATCAACAAACATGTGTTAGAAACAACCTCAAGTGCTTAAGAGTATGTCCCATGGGGACAGCCCCGATAAGTCTGAGTGGTTGAAACGTAGTCCAGTTCGCTCTCCATATTCCCGTGAAAGGGAGTCCCGGAACAAAAAGAAAAGGAAGCCTTCCAAATCAATCAAGGACCAAATCAAGAAGAAGGCCGGACCTCCTTCGCTTCAGCCAAAGAAACGCGGCTTTATACCCTTCATGCGCACGTTTCAAAGATTGAATAAGGACTTGCCGCCCAATGATATGTTGAAAAAGGCAACTCGTATTTGGTGCCGCCTACATAAACGCCACCGCAAACCATTTTAGAACCCACTTTGGTAAAACTATTTCAACTTAAGCCTTACACAAGCAATAACATCTACCATTTTTTCAGAATTGTGAGAACTGGATTGAAAACACTTTCAAATTTTACACGTGCTTATATATGGGTAATTCAAGGGAATCGCTCCGGACCTACGTACACATTCATAATAAATAAAATTCCAACTTCAAATGATTTTAATTTTGATAATTGGCTTTACTTTTTAGTGTTCCTAAACTCTTTATTTGATATTTCATTCTGACTTTTATTTGCATTATGGCAGCCAAAAAACTAATAATTTCTTGCGGAAAATTGGATTCAGACTTCAGTCAAGAAATCCCCCTTTAAGCGGGTTTTCAGTCGTAGTTTGCCCAATTTACGGCGTACAACTAAAAGACCGACCGTTTTTAGCAGCTGGCTACAAATGCTATCGATCCCCAGAACTTTAAGGAACATTTATTTTTTGACCCATTTTCGCATTTCTTGTAACGGGGTACATCAGTTATTTTTGGGATTCAGATTTTGGTCAAAAATAGTCATTTTTTAGTGGTTTTTCAGTCGTAGTTTAGCCAAATCAAGGCGTACAGCTAAAAGACCGACTGTTTTGAACAGCTTGCTACAAATGCTATCGATCCTCATCACTTCCAGGGAAATTTATTTTTTGACCCATTTTCGCATTTTTTATAAGGGGGTGCATCAGTTATTTTTGGGATGCAGATTTTGGTCAAAAATAGTCATTTTTTAGTGGTTTTTCAGCCGTAGTTTAGCCAAATCAAGGCGTACAGCTAAAAGACCGACTTTTTTGAACAGCTTGCTACAAATGCTATCGATCCCCATCATTTTAAGGAACATTTATTTTTTGACCCATTTTCGCATTTTTTATAAGGGGGTGCATCAGTTATTTTTGGGATTCAGATTTTGGTCAAAAATAGTCATTTTTTAGTGGTTTTTCAGCCGTAGTTTAGCCAAATCAAGGCGTACAGCTAAAAGACCGACTTTTTTGAGCAGCTTGCTACAAATGCTATCGATCCCCATCATTTTAAGGAACATTTATTTTTTGACCCATTTTCGCATTTTTTATAAGGGGTGCATCAGTTATTTTTGGGATTCAGATTTTGGTCAAGAATAGTCATTTTTTAGTGGTTTTTCAGTCGTAGTTTAGCCAAATCAAGGCGTACAGCTAAAAGACCGACTGTTTTGAACAGCTTGCTACAAATGCTATCGATCCTCATCACTTCCAGGGAAATTTATTTTTTGACCCATTTTCGCATTTTTTATAAGGGGGTGCATCAGTTATTTTTGGGATTCAGATTTTGGTCAAAAATAGTCATTTTTTAGTGGTTTTTCAGCCGTAGTTTTGCCAAATCAAGGCGTACAGCTAAAAGACCGACTGTTTTGAACAGCTTGCTACAAATGCTATCGATCCTCATCACTTCCAGGGAAATTTATTTTTTGACCCATTTTCGCAATTTTTATAAGGGGGGGCATCAGTTATTTTTGGGATTCAGATTTTGGTCAAAAATAGTCATTTTTTGGTGGTTTTTCAGCCGTAGTTTAGCCAAATCAAGGCGTACAGCTAAAAGACTGACTGTTTTGAGCAGCTTGCTACAAATGCTATCGATCCCCATCATTTTAAGGAACATTTATTTTTTGACCCATTTTCGCATTTTTTATAAGGGGTTGCATCAGTTATTTTTGGGATTCAGATTTTGGTCAAAAATAGTCATTTTTTAGTGGTTTTTCAGTCGTAGTTTAGCCAAATCAAGGCGTACAGCTAAAAGACCGACTGTTTTGAACAGCTTGCTACAAATGCTATCGATCCTCATCACTTCCAGGGAAATTTATTTTTTGATCCATTTTCGCATTTTTTATAAGGGGCTGCATCAGTTATTATTGGGATTCAGATTTTGGTCAAAAATAGTCATTTTTTAGTGGGTTTTCAGTCGTAGTTTAGCCAAATCAAGGCGTACAGCTAAAAGACCGACTTTTTTGAGCAGCTTGCTACAAATGCTATCGATCCCCATCATTTTAAGGAACATTTATTTTTTGACCCATTTTCGCATTTTTTATAAGGGGGTGCATCAGTTATTTTTGGGATTCAGATTTTGGTCAAAAATAGTATTTTTTTGACATTCCTCATTTTGACCTTTACTTGCATTATGCCAGCCAATTTGTTGACCGATTTTCGCATTTTTCATTTACACTTTTCTTTACAAAGTGGTTGAAAAATTTAAGTTAAAAACTTTTTTAAATTTATATTTATTTTATATAATTATATTCATATTATATTTTTTGTTATCTTATAGATGTAGAATGGAAATCGTATGTGTCTTGATCAGTGTTTACAGATTTCTATAATATTATTATTCTGCATCAAAAGGTGCGTTTTGAACAGGCGATGTGCTAGTGTACAGTGTACATTGATTTTCCTTTTCTAAGAATTTAGAACTATGTTCTACTTGGATATTAATTAAATGCATAACCACTGTGAACTATGACATTAAGTTAAGCACTCATGCTACTAGCATAATGTCTATTTGCTCACCCTGGCTGTCACTTCCAAGAAGCTGTCCTCCCAATTATGCAAATTCTGAGTACAATTGTGAGGCATGCATCTGTCATTTCTATAGCAAAACCATAGAAAATATGTTTCAAACTAACAACGACTGATGGACTTTGTCTGTTTTCTGAGCTACTATATGTGCCATCTAGAACTGCATTCGTTCTTATCGAATATGTCAAGTTTGGAATACAGTGTGGCATAAAACAGTACTTATACTTTCCATTAAAACTATCCAAGAGGAAGAAGAAATAACAATAACTAAAACACGAAACTTTACTTCCGAGATGTGTGCTATAAGTTATATCATGTCAGCCATTAGTCTTTTACCACACATCAATCAACAATCAACAGAATTTATATCAGCTAAGCCTACACAAATAATAATAACATGGGTAAAAATGTTTGTTTAAGAGTTATATTTACTTTAAAGAACGAATTTAAATATAAACCAAAAGAAACCAGAACACTCATCGTTACCACCATCGGACTTACCTTCCAGTTCAACAGCTTTTTATTATATATAGGTATATATATATATAAAGGTATTTTGAATAATTTGAAAACAGAGAAGGGGACTATTGGTTAATTATTTACAGGTTTCAACTTATCATAACTAGACGCCTGGTCATTATCATAAAAAATTAAAACATCTATTGTTCAACCTGAAAGAAAGTCATTTGCTGATGCTCACACCATATTCGAAAGAATTTACCTAAATCCGCCTCCTCAAAGTCCGTAAATTAACAAATGAAATGTATAACAATTGAATAGAATTGATAATAAATTTTTTTTTTTCAAAAACAATGATTTTTGTACACCAAAAAAATAAATCTATTAAAAAATTTGGCAATTATATAAATTTTCTAAATAGTTCAAATCAATTTATAAATCATCAATTATTGAATTCAAACTGCAATCTGTAATATCGCACTATAAATTATTATTTTAAATATCTAAGCAATTAAAAATTAAATGATACCACCATTATTTATGTTAAAATTATCATTTATTTACTTATTAAAATTGTCCAAGAGTCTTTAATGACTGAAATGTGTTTTTAAAAAGTTTCCAGCAACTTTGTTGGGAAAGCCGGAGAAATGTCATCAGTATTTACTCACGAATGAGGGATTCCTCTGTGAATTACTCACCACTCCAACTCGTTTCGCCGCACCTGTGGAAACTAATTTGAAAGTAATTTGCTTTCGCATAGATTGCATATTCCCCTGTCAGGCCACCGCACATCATAATCATAATCACATAAATCCCCCCCCCCCCCCCCCCCAACAAAAAATAAAAACCCCAAGCAATCAGTCGCCAAAATTGTGGTAGCAACCCCCAAAGCCAAAACCCAGCATCAAAACCCCAAAAAAAAACACAGAGAATCCTGCGGTAATCGATCATCATAGGGGGGAAAAACTCAGGAACATACCCAATTTGTATAAATTATTAAAATATTGATTTATTAGTTGAAAATTTAACATCTAATTTAAGACGGGCGGCTTCAACTTCAAGTGAATTTATGCGGCAGAGCTAACGAATTTATCATTATCCCCCAGCGCATAAATTGAAAAATAAATACGGCTTCTATTTATTATGTTTTTCTTTTCTGCCCCTCGATAGAACCCTTTGGTAAAATCTGAATACTGAATACTGTTTGTGCAAATGAAAGTGCTGTGCCAGTGTGTGTGCGTGTGTGTGTGTGTATCTGTGTGAGCTGGCTTGTTTACTTGTGTGAGTGCCTTTTGCGAACAGCGGAGGCCGTAACTCAAAGCAAACTCCCCACCGACTTTCCCTTTCCTCACACGTTCAGCCTGGGGGCGGGTCAGCCACGCCCACCGTTGGCTTTTCCAGCACACACACACACACACACACACATATGTGTTCTGCACAAACACCCACACATGCACACCCACTCATGCACGCACACATGCGACGCATTCAAAGTTTATCCAGCGCCCGTTTTGCACATTAATTTACTGACCTTTTGCACTTTTTCCATAGTTTTGCAGCAGCACCTCCCCGCGCTGCCACGCCCCGCGCTACGCCCACCATAATGCACTGAGAGAAAAATCTAAAAGCATATAACAAAGTTTAAAACTTAAACTAAACGTAATTATTATTTATTTAGTTTGTTCCTTTTCAATATAAACAAAATAAGATATCGCCTATTTTTATGAAACTTTAATTTTGATATAATGGAATTTTTTATTTTTACTGGCAAATATATACCATAATGCACTAAGAGAAGAACCTTAAAGCAAATTACAAAGCTTAAAACTTAAATTAAACGTTCTAAATAATAAAAAAATACATTTATTAGATATATTTAAGCATAAAGATGATAATAAGGTATCGTATTTGTTGAAAAACATTATTTTTAAAGAATGGAAATTTCTATTTCCTACACAAAGAAAATGATGCAGTAAAATGCTATGTTTGAAGTGCAAAATAAGACTTAAAATATTTCATTAACTTAAATGAAACATTTTAAGCAGCATCAGTAAAACCAAATTTAAATGAAATTTTTACATTTTAGAAACCTAAACTTTTGCTATTTCTATGTGTGTATGTCAGCTATAGGATATAATCGACAGGAAATCTCAAAAAAACATTATTTTTAAATATTCTCGAT